GGCATGAAAATGAAAGTCTGCTGAACTGAAAGGCTTGCCGCAGTAGAGTCCAAGTCATTGGCTCGCCAATATTGCAAACTTATTGGGGTTTTTGGGAGACTGCGATTGACGAAAAGAGTCACTCTACGACCCAAGCCCTGAATCACCCAAAAACCCATAAATTCTAATGGTCTTTGGATATACCCTATTTGATTCGGCTTATTTAATATAGGTGTAAAAGCGTAGGGGGGGGGTACGGGTTTTGAGACCATCTACCCAAAGGGCAAGGCCTATGTTAACTTACTACCCCTCCTAGGTTCACCCCTTGACTACGGATATCTAAACTATTTAGGGATAATCTAAATCCTAAATCCCAACGCCTACACCCATAACTCTAAACCGCTATCAACCTCTGTACTCCTCTATATTATACTCCCTAGATATAGTCCCCCTAAAGTAGAGAGACTATGGGGTATATGGGGATATTATTGCAAAAAAAACCAAAGCCACATTCTATCTACTTCAGGGGGACTATAACCCCCTTTAAGGGGTTTAGACTGTAGTGTTATCCTCCCCGGATAACCCCCAAACCCTGAAGCCTAAACCCTAAACCCCCTTTAAGGAGTTAAGACTGTAGCTCACAAGCTCGAGACTCCCCGGAAATTTCGAAGTTGTCTTGGGCCGTCTCGAAAGCCTTCACGGCTTCCTTCTGAGAGCCAGCCTCCAGGAGAGTTGGCAAAGGGGTATTTAGGGTCTAGGGCTTATTGAATTTAGGATTTAGGGTTTAGGGCTTATTGGATTTAGGATGTAGGGTTTAGAGCTTATGAGGTTTAGGATTTACGCCTCAGGGGTTTAGGATGTAGGGTTTAGGATGGTTTAGGGCTTATGAGGTTTAGGATTTGATAGGTTTCAGGGTCTAGAACTGAGGGTTTAGGATTTACGGGATCCTGGGCCTAGGATTTAGAGTTTGGGATTTGGGGTCATAAGGGTTGGGTCTCACAAGGATCTGTGGACTCAGGGTATTTAAGGTCTAGAGTAGGGATGATGCCAGGTTACCTTTATACACCTGGTCCATTTTTGAGGGAATATACCATAGGCATCAAGGCGTTATCGGGGAAACACTATTGGTAATGATTCAGGCTTCTGCAGACGTTTAGGGTCAGGGGGTCACACCTTCTGCACAGAGGCATGAAACCACGTTTCCATTCCATTTTCCGTTTCATTTTCCATTATCCCTACATAACCCCTATGTAACCCCAATAATTAATACCCCCTTTCTGCTCCATGCAGTTGGGAACCCTGTTCCAGAACTTCTGCCCCGCCAACCTGAGGAGGCAGAATGGGGGGCTGGAGGGGTGGGGCTGAAGGTAACATGGAGGATTGGCAAAGAAAGAAACCCTGGGGACCTCACGGATTTGTAAGGACGAGAAGAAGATTCTGAAGATTCTATAGGTTCTTTTGAGGGATTATGTATCGATGTCTCTCAGAAACTCCCTACATTCTTACACTATACCTCATGTACTTCATTGCAGCTCCGTCGAACTAATTCGAGAACTTGTAGTCTCCCTGCAGTAGATAAAATGTGGAATGTCCAAATATCACAAGATCTGAATGCCACGAACTGCAGGCTGCTGCAAAACATCTCCGCATAATCCCTGCCTGAATTCAAAAGCCAAAGCCTACAACCTAAACCTAGAGCCCAAACAGACTACAACTCAAAATCCCAAACCCTAATCCCTAAACCCCAGACCCTGATCCCTAAAAACCGATCCCTAAACCCCGAACCCTAATCCCTAAATTCTAATCCCTAAATCCCCATATGATCCATAGTCTAAACTCCTAGTATCCCCCTGACTAACCCCTATAATGCTCCCCTATATAATCGTTTATATATGAGCCCTTTAAGGAGTTTAGCTTGTGGCTCATATATCCCATGTCCTATCTACTAAGGGGGACTATACATTCCAAAAGGCATCCCAAGACCTCCTGCCAAGCTCTAGAGGCACAGGGTTTAGAGTTTATAGGGTGTATAGGGTTTAGGGTTCAGGGTTTAGGGTTCAGGGTTTATAGCGTTTAGGGCTCAGGGTTTATAGCGTTTAGAGTTCAGGGTTTGTAGGGTTTAGGGTTTAGGGCTAAAAGCGTGACCCCGAAAGACTTTAACCAACACCTAAACGCATGTACAACCCAGAGCCCAGTTTCCTTGTCCTTGCAGCGCCCGATCTGTGCCCAAAGCTCTCCCAAAGTGGTCCCACGGGAGCCCACGTCCTAGCATGTGTTTTAGGGTTTCGGGTTTAGGGTTTATCTACAGGGTTTAGGGATAAGGGTTCAGGGATATAGGACACTGTCGGGAGGCCTAAGGATGAGTGCTCAAGGTTGATACCGGACATTAGCAGTTCCATAACCCTTAATATCGGAGACCTTAGGAAGTATGGTACTGTAGTCCACCAAGGTCATGCAATATTGGGCCGGTAATAGTTATTGGGGTTTGCGGTGGAAACTGAGGACGTTCAGTTACCGTTAAGCGAACAGTTCTTATGAAGCCCTGGGTGGGGGGTAGCATTAGGGAGAGGGGATTAGCATGTAGAGGGTTCAGGGCTTCGTGGCTTACCTAAGCCCTTCAACTACCAAGGGCCATAAGGAAAAGGGTAGTGGGCTATTGGGCTGAAATAGTTGGCCCTTCATCCCGAAACGTTGAACCCTGCTCCTGGTAGATGGCAAGAGCCTGATTGTAGAACCGCATGGCCGCAGCAAAGTCGCCGAGATCAGTCAGCATCATGCCGCGATTTACCTTGCTTTGGCTTTGGGCTCAAGATTTTAATAACGGAGTTTCGGCCCTGCGGTGCCAGGGGGCTCACGCAGCAGAAATGCATTTGCTACACTGAAAGCATAGCTTCCAGGACGTACCTGTGTAAATGCCTGATGTGCAGTTCCACGTAGGACGCACTTAGCTTAGAAACCGCGGATGACATCCTGTGACCTGTGGGCAATCGCTATCCTTTACCTCAAAAGTACCTGCGTAAGCCCGGGTCTCTCGAAGAGCAACCAGAGCTTCCAACAAGACCAGTGGCCAAAAGATCTGCGTACCCAGGGCTCTCCGTGACTCCGATGACCGCATAGATGTGGTCGGCCTCTTGGGGAAGCGCTGCAAGCGGAAAGACTCTACTTGTGTAGAAGCACATCACGGCTGAGAAAAGATCACCGGTCCATGTCCGACCATGTGGCGCAGGTGTATTGACCATTCAGGATCTACCTGTTACCTGGATCACTTTATAGCAGCCTTGCGTGCAGGAGTGTTGTGGATGGTTGCAATTTCAGCAACCCTTTAGGGTGTCGATGTGCCTGTAAGTCCAGGCTTTGGCGGACTGCTGCGGGCACGAAACAGGAGCAACTTGCACACTGAACCTCTGGTGTCTATCAACTTCCATATCCTTGAAGCCTAAACTCTATATCCGCCCTATGTACCCCTTATATAACGCCTACACCGCCCTTTATAAACCCTACAGGACCCCATAGAGGCAACTCTAGAGACACAAGCCCCAGATGTGACTTGCCTTGTCGTAGGCTGCCTTTGCGGCATCCGCGTCACCCATGGCCCACTTGGCTTTGCCAATATTGGCATACCTGAAGCACGAATGAAGTATAGTCTAAACTCCTTATACAGGGTGCTATATAGGGGAATATTATTGGGGTTACTAGGCGGTACCAGGAGTTCAGACTATGGCTCATATATGGCAGTTCCATGAAGTCATCTTGCTATGATCTCTAAGTGGGACCCCCTAAGCCCGCATGAACCTTTGAACGTGCCAGGTACCTGCTGCAGCATGCTAGTCTGCCATGCACGGTCTTCCTATTTCGGAACAGAGAAGGGCTGCTGTATTCCTACCCTCCCATTAACTTTTTTGGGCCTACATTGAGGGGCTTAAGACACCAGCTCTGAAGCCTTAACTCTCAAACTGGAACCCTAAGCCCTGCACCGTAAACCTTGCACGCTGAGCCTTATAAACCCTAAGCTGAACACCACCTTGGTACAAGTCCGCATAGCCTGGACTCCTCTCCAGCTTCAGCTGCTCATAGCATTGCGCTGCCAGCTCGTAGAATTCTATGGCTTCGCGGTAGTGTCCTGCAGAGTGGTGTGGATTGGGTAAACCTATTTCTGAATTACGTGCTATATTGCTCTACATATTACTGTAGTGATGCTGTATTACAACCTGTTACCATGTTCGATACACTTGTGTTAGTGTAGCCAACATGGGTCCTGTAGTCACTTCTTGTACAATTGCTTGCGCAACTTCTTCTATAACGTACCATGATGTACCATAATATACCAAAATATACCATAATATACCATAATATACTATAATATAATATTACTATGATGATCTTTATCAAGGATCCCAGGTCGAAAGTTGTTGCCGACTCCGGGCTCAATAACTCAGAGATCTGAACTCTACTCCTTTGGCATAATAGTCCGGCTTTCGTATATGAGCGAACAAATGCTCCTACAGAAACTTTTGTATCTTGGGCTGCTCTTAATGGGATGCAGAGGTTTGGCCCATGAACTGAAAGACATTAGAAGCTCCTCCAAATCTTTTTTCCTTCGTTGAAGATCCCTGGAAGAAAAATGGTACCACTTCTCGGGGTACGCCAAGAATAGCCAATCCTGATAAACACGTCTAAACACGAAACTTTCCGGATTGGAAGGAAAAAATCAAGCCCTTGACCCGCCTGTATGCACTTTGAGCGAGCCCAGGTGCTTCAGAACCCTTGGGTAATCTTCATGGGTGACTGCGTTCAAGCTCTGAAACAGCTCGCTCGCTGTGTTCAAAAACTCTTGCCGGCCGGTGGTGGTGAACAGATCCACCAGCAGCTGCGCATACTGCACTGTCTGGCTGCATTCTAGAGCTTCCAGAGTTTCCTCGGCCGTTGATGGGATCATCACGCAACGTACTACTATCAAGCTGCACCCTTAGCATCCACAAGCATGAAAGCACGCGTAATAATGATAATAATAACAATAAAAACGATAAGAATAAATGAAAATACTAAGACAGTATGAATTATAGTAGTAAGAATAACAATTATAATAGTAATAAAGCATAATGAGAGTAGTCAGGAATTAGCCCAGCTTCCTTTGCTCTGAAATAGTACTCCTCGGCATTTTCCCACTGGCCCTTGCGGACGAACCTTGGCCATCCTACTGGTGCTTAAGGGGGAGGGGGAGTAAGCTCTTGGCGGCTTGGGTTGAGGGCTGCCCGTTCTGGAAGCTCACAGGGCTGTTTGTATGACCACTGGCCATGCATCAAAATCAAGGTCCCTTAGGCAACCCTTACACGAAACATCCACATTACCTGGACAGCCAGGAAAAAGCCATAAACCCTACTGCTGAAGATGGCAGAAATCGGGCATCACCCATTAGCGCGCTCTAAATTGATGAAGGATGTCCTACATCTATGGCGCGCTGAACTTTGAACCCGATTCATATCCCTATAAATGTCCCAAAGCCCCACTAAACCCTACCCCTCATACAGCATCGGAAAAACTAAAGATCAAGGTGCAGTCGCCCAAGCAGGCGATAGGTCATGGCAGCATCCATGCTCTGGCCTTCAATGGGGACTTCATAGGATTATGTGACCCTAGTGAGGATGTTTTAAAGGTCATGTTTTGAAGCTACCATGGGCAAAACCAAAGCCCCATGTGAGAGTTTCATAGCAGGCCCTCAAAGACCCAAAGAATATGGAATGAACCTATATAATACCAAGATCCCCATAGTTCCACATTCTATCTACTTAAGGGGGGCATAATACCAAGATCATCATATTGCCCACATTCTATCTACTTAAAGGGGGACTACAATCCTAAACCCTAAACCCTAAACAGTAGTGTCCATTTTCTTTTCCAGTATTACAGGGGGGACTACATGTTTTGGGCCACAGAACGACTGTGGGGATCCCTATCAAGGATACCCTGCCAATGACTTATTACGTGCGGGACGATCTCCATGTAAGGGTTTTTAGGGGTTATATTGGCGTTATATTGGAATAATGAAAAATTAAAATGGAAACTACAGGGATTATAGGTTATATAGGGGTTATATAGGGAGTAGGATCATGTAAGCCCAATCAGGTCCCGAAAAAAGCTTCAGCAGCTTCTCATCTGACACAACTTAAGTTTTGCATCATCTCTACAAAGCCCATACTCTTCCCCATCCCCAACAAACTTCTCTAGAAATAATAGCAATTAGAAAAGTAGTCATACTAGTAGTAACAATAGTAGGTTCAACTCGTGAGCTTTCGGGTCCCTGGAGGCCTGGGTGCGTCTGAATCCCACGCAGAAGGACCTGCTCTGCTCGGTAGAAGTCGGCCACAGAATCTATCAGCAGGCTTCCAACCGAGTTGTACACGGAAAGTTCGGTCGCACCTGGAAAGCTGCTTAGAGGCGGAACCCACATCTGATTACCCATTATTACTTTACATTTTGACTACTATAACTATTACTACTACTAGTATACTACGACTATTCTAATTCGAATACTAGTATTACTATTGATATCATTACAAGAGGAGTTGGTTGGGGTACTCACCAAGCTTCCACAATGGTGTCTGCTAGAGCTTGAAGCGTTTTATCGATAAGTTTGTCCGCCGGCTGCTTCTCATCCAAGGTGAGGGCTAATGCTGTACCAAAATGATGGGAAGCCCTGTCACCCCACCCCCAAAAACTCCCCCGATATTGTGATATATACATGTATATGTGTGTGTACATATTGCTAATATCAACACGTCTATATACTACATCTATATATACACACACACACGCACCTCTAAATACCTAAATACCCACTGTGCTACATGTAAATTTAGACCCCTGATTAATCAACCCCCTCGCTTCTAGGGATCCTAATATTAAGGCC